CCCCAAAACCCCAAAACCCCAAAACCCCAAAACCCCAAAACCCCGTAGCATAAGCTACTTAGAATATTAAATGTGCAAATTATTTGTTTAGTAAAGTATATATCTATTTTCAAAAAAATTAAGTGGAATATCTGAGGATATGACAGTCTATGTTTGTTTATAAAAAATTTCAGATGTCCTATTGCTGTTAACTACTCTGCTTGTTCTCCTCATAACCTTTATTCTAATCATTATTAACTTTATCCTTATGCAATTCCTGTTGCTACTGTAGCTGTTCCATAATTTGATTTTTTATCACCTTTTGAAAATGATTTTCATTTAGGCTTTTTTATTTCTTAAAGTGATCTATTTCTTGCAAAAATAAGCGTCTTAGTTTCTCAAAGTTTAATGTTTCTTGCTCTTTTTCGTATTGAAAAAACTTTTCCTGCTCTTCAGTAGATAGCTAGTTCTGTTTATTTATTATTATTTAGGCTTTTAGTTCTTCTTTATAGTAGTCTGATATTGTCTTTAGATATGGATGATCTAATAATTCTTAGATAGTAGGCCTCAAAAATGGATTAAAAGTCAGCATTTTAAACATGAAATCCATTGCTTATTCGCTGGAGGCAGGGAATCTTTTAGAGAGATCAGCTCGAGGTTTAGGATCAAAAGAGTCTAAATAATCTAAAGCTTTCTTATCTGTTATAAAGGACTTCTCTTCTTCATTCGGTGTCCCGATAACATCAAATATCATGCTTAATTAATCTCCTTAACTAATTCTAAAACCCCTTTTATTAACCTAAATAGGTCCTGGAGTTTTATCTGGTGATAAAGGAAAGCAAGACTTGCCAGGGAAAAGAGCTTGTCTGTCATTATGATTTGCTACATTTTCCCTCATCATAGTGAGTAGCTCTGCAAAGATGCAACCAATAGCCCAAACATCTATTGGTTCTCCGTAGTCCTTCTCTAAAAGGATTAATTCAGGAGCTCTGTACCATCGAGTGACAACATGGCCAGTTAGTTGTCTTTTTAAATTTTTTCTCAAGTCCTTAGTTTAAATGAGCAACTCGCATAGGACTTTTCTTTTTTCAGGACTTTGTGATTAAGAATTAAAAACCTCATCAATATATTGTGATTTAGGAGTTTGTGGAGATTTTTAATGTTGTTGTTAATTAATTTCATCTATTATATTTTGATCTTATTCGCTATTATTTGAACTTTGCTATTATGAAAGAGGAAGGGGTTCTAATGATTAGGCATCTAATGATACTTATCTTGTAGAGAAATTATCAAAATTTTTCTTAGTTGGAGGAGAGAACTACTCCTGCAATTAAGAATCTTTTTTTATTTCTTCTTTGATTAAAGATTTGCTTCCCGTAACACCATCAATAGATCTTGATAACCCAAAATCGCAAATTTTGATACTGCAATCTGCATTTATTAATATATTGCCTGGTTTGATATCTCTATGAATTATCTTAGATTCATGCATGAATTTCAGTCCCACTAGTAAATTATATATGATTGTCTATACATGAAGCTCCGTCAAAAACATAGATTGTTTAAGAACTTTTTTTAAGTCTGACTACGCATACTCTAATACCAGAAAGAGAGAATTAAACTTCAAAGGATCACTAGGTTCTATAATATCATATAACTTGACAATGTTGCTATTGTTCATGTAACGGAGAATCTGTATTTCCCTTAACATTCTCTTAGTGTCAATTTCATCTTGAAATAAGTTAAGTATTTTTTTAATAGCAACTTTTTCTCCTGTAGCTTTATGAATTGCTTCGCAAACATTACCGTAGCTTCCTGATCCAATCTACTTCCTTACTTCGTAATCTTTTCCTACATCCCACTCTTTTTAGAACTACATAATCTCAAAGGGAGATTTCCTAAGTGATTTAAGCGATGGCCCGCCTTATGTTTGAGAATCTCTATAAGAATTATTGTATAATACCCCAAAATCCATACCCATTTTAGGTGTAACTATTGTATGATTCAACCATGGTATATTTTAGTTTCAATAAAATTTTAACTTAGTAGAAAGTATTATATAAATTATCATCAATCAACTTTAAAATTATCACTTCAATTTAAAATGGATAAGTATGATACTGGAATTATGAATAAGATGCCTTAGTCTCTGGGTATGAAGAAACCTAATTTTTCTAGTGCAACCATCAATAAAAGGGAAAAACTGAATTGGTATATACATACGCTTTTTATCAGACAGGACTATGACGAGTGCCTTAAATTAATTGATGAATAGCTGGTTGAATCTCATGGTAAATCTGAATATGCATTATATGCGAAAGCATTGATCCTTAGGATAAAGGGCAATATTCACGAAAGTCTTGAATTATTTAAGAAATGCCATTTACTGAACCCAACAAACATAGATTACCTAAAACAATTCGGTAGATCATTATATCTTCTTGGAAGACATAAAGCAGCAATTGAAGTATTCGATGAATGCGTTAAACTAGACACTAACGATTGGGAAGTGTATTATTACAAAGGCCTTAGCTATAAGTATCTAAGGATATATGATCAAGCAGTTCTTTGCTTCCAATAATCAAATGAAATAGCAAGACATGATTAAACTTTTATAGAGCTTGGTAAAACCTATGCAGCTTAATAAGACTATAAAAGTGCTATAGAAGTATATTTGGAAGGTTTAGAATACTCTCCAGAGAATTCTGAACTTTTGACAACAATCGGACTTCTTTATATAAGATTAGGAGAAAATTTCTAAGCTTTTTAATTCTTAGGAAATAGCATGACAATTGATCCGAAAAATACAAAGACAATTTTAGCAGCAGGTTCGATTATTCAAGATAAAAGTGATCATGATGCAGCTCTACTAAAATACAGAATAGCCGCAGTGCATAATCCTGACTCTGCAGAGCTATGGAACAATATTGGCATGTGCTTCTTTGGAAAATAAAAATATGTAGCATCTGTTGCTTGCCTGAAACGTGCACTTTATCTAGATCCATTTTAATGGATAGCTGCTTTTAATTTAGGTTTAGTCCACTTGAATACTGAGCAATATGCTTCAGCTTTTCATTACTTTAGTTCAGCAATAAATTTAAAGCCAGACTTCTCTAATAGCTATATGTATCTTGCTATTACCTTGAACAAACTTAATGATTTTGAAAATTCTTGTAATGCCTTTTAGAAAGCACTAGAAATGGATAATAACGATTGTACCATATATCTAAATTTCGCTATCACTTTATACAATAACGGATAAACAGCTAAGGCTAAAGATATGTTTCAAAAATCCGAAAAGATATTTGAAACTTTGGATGAGGAGGACAAGGAGCCTGAAATGCTAGACTAAAGATCAGTTCTAATGGACTCATTAGGCATTCCTGAAAAATAGTATATTAAGTAACCAAAGTAGACTGAGCTTTAAAAGAATTAAAGTTCCATCAATGAGAGAGAAAATAATGTTGATTAGTGATTTTAATGTGATTAATATTAAAATGAATATAAATTAATTATTGTAAAGTTTCAAAAATGCAATTAAATAAAATAGTATTTCCAGCTCCTAATTGTACTTATACATCTGAAAAGTTATTCAAGGATTTGATTTATATACCAAGAGAAGTTAAAACTCCAAATTAAGCCGAATGTATTCCCTGTTTATATCTACCATATGATTGAGATACAAAAATTTTGCTATTTTTTCATGGTAATGCAGAAGACGTAGGGATTGCATTTGACATACTAGACGAGTTGAAAAATTGCCTTAAAGTAAATTTACAAAACTATCCTTTCAATAACAATTAACCATCAATTTGTAGGTTAGCATTTTAGCAATGGAATACCCAGGTTATGGACTCTATCATGGAAATCCTGAGTCAGATCAAATGCTTGAAGATGCTTTACATATTTATGATCATCTAGTTAATGAACTAGGAGTCAGTGAGTCAGACTTGATAGTTTTTGGTAGGTCAATTGGTTCCAGTGCAGCTACTTATCTGGCAAGACATAGAAATCCCTGCTGTCTAATACTTATGTCCCCTTTCAAATCAATCAGAGATACTGCCAGAGATTTAGTAGGATGGTTACTTTCTAAGGCAATCGCTGATAGATTTAGGAATATTGATGTTATAAGAGATGTTAAAAGTCCTATTCTTATTATACATGGATAAAAAGACAAATTAATCCCTTATAATCACTCTTAGGATCTTCATGATGCTGCCATTAACTCTCAATATTGTAAATTAGTGTTACCTCCATAAATGGATCATAATGACTTCAACTTTGATGACGATTTCGTGGAACCAATTACGGAGTTTTTTAAGTAAATTGGCCTAAGATTAAACGACGTTAATGAAACTTTTAGAGGTATTAAATTTTAGGATGATTACTATTTTCCTCCCAAGTCAATAGTTGACTATGAAAAAAAGATAGTTAAAAGCTCAATCATTTGGGATATAATAGAGGATAGAAAAAGATAAGCAGAGATTAGAAAAACAAAAAGCTAAAAAATGTATTTAAATGGTGATATCGATGAATTGAATGCAATAAATAAACTTAGCGTTACTCAAAAAATGGAAAAATTGCATTCTAAACACGAGCAGATACAAAATAAATTTAGGATTTAGAATCTTCCTATCAAACGAAGGTCTGACTCTAAAATCCTGCTTAATAGACCTCAGTCTCCATATTATAGTGCGAGTACTATTCTTAAAGGAAATTAAACAATAGTTAATGAATATTCTGATTAACCCACGAATACAATTAATATGAGAAAGATTAACGAAAATAATGCAAATAAACCAATTGGAATCCCTAGTAAAGAATTAAATGAAAAAATGCAGGAAATTTTGAATGATGGATATAAATGGGATAAATTGAAGACTGTAGGTGTCAGGAAAACTCAGGACAGAATATCACTTAAATTCAATTGAAGAATTGCAAAAATTCAAGAGAATGAAGCGCAATAAAATCTGGAATTTTAACATATATCTATCTATAAAAATATCTGGTTATATATTAATAAAATGCTCGAAATTTTTCTTTAAATAAAAGTTTAATTTGTATGTAGGGGTTTTGGGGTTTTGGGG